TGGACATCTGGATACGAAACTTTTGAGGGCCTGGACCCTGCAGACTGGTGTAGGCGGGGGTATGCAGTCGTGAACGTGGATGCTCGTGGGTGCCAGTTCTCGGAGGGCACTTATTTCTTCTGGGGAGAACAAGAGGCCGAGGACATTCACGACACTATCGACTTCTTATCCAAGCAGCCTTGGTGTAACGGTTCCATATGCATGGGAGGAAACTCTTACCTGGCAAAAGCCCAAGTCAACTACGCCTCTAAACAGTCCCATCCTGCCTTGAAGGCCTTGGCTCCATGGGAAGGATTCACCGACATATATCGGCAGCTCTTTCGTCGTGGCGGGTTTGCCATGCACAACATCTTCGCAGCCGGCTATCAGTGGGCCGTAGCTGGCAAGCACGAAGTTGAAGACATAGCGAAGATGATCAAGACTCGACCATTCTTTGACGATTACTGGGCCGATAAGTACGATGAAGTATCCAAAATCGATGTGCCACTCTACGTGCTAGCATCTTTTAACAACCCGTTCCATGTTCAGGGGTCATTTGACACGTTTCGCCACGCACGTTCAACGAAGAAGTGGATGCGAGTTCACAGCTCCTTTGAGTGGTATGAGATGTACGAGCCCAAGTCGAACAACGACCTGCAGAGATTCTTCGATCGCTATTGCAAAGGAATAATGAATGGTTGGGAGTCAGATACTCCCCCAGTACGACTGTCTATCTATGGAGTTGGGTCCGTTCCAAATGTTGTCGAGAGACCAGAGACCGAGTTTCCACTAGCCCGACAACGACTGGAGACGTTCTATCTTGACGCTGCGACCAAAACCCTTCACAGCTCTCGCAGGGACAGCGAATCCTCTATCTCACACGAGAGCCATGGCTTTGATGCTCCTTCATCTGTAAGTTCTGCAGCATCTATAATTGAAACGTTTTTATTATTCACCAAGCTAACAAATCTTTTACAGGACTTCATCGTCAAGTTCAGCGAATATACCGAAGTTGCCGGTTACGCCAAGGTCCGCCTCTGGATGTCCTGCAAAGAGAAAGATGATATGGACGTTGTCGTTCAACTTCGGAAGATCGACAACAAGGGGAACCTTCTTGCAGGACTCAATTTCCCAGCTCCAGTGCCAGAAAGCGAGGCGCCGGAAGCCGAAACAGCTAAGACTTATGGCCCCCAGGGGTTTCTGCGAGCGTCAGCAGCAGCATCTCGCGACAAGGCACGGTCGAGTCCCGATGGACAAGAAGTCTTCTATAGACATGATCGTGAGGATAAGATTGCACCGGGGACTGTTGTCCCCCTGGATATCACCTTGTGGCCTATGGGAATGGTTTTCGCGGCTGGTGAAGGAATCATGCTTCGAATCGCTGGACATTTCCTTAGCGCGCCTGTCGTTGAGGCGATGAAGCCTAAGGCGACTGATGACGAGAATATAGGCCAGCACCATATTCACACAGGAGGGAAGTATGATTCTAGTCTTATACTTCCCGTTGTTGGGATTAGTAGGGCGTGAGCTGAAAAACGAGAGTGGCCGAGAATTCTCTAGATTAAATTGAAAACATTAGTTTTTGCTAAAATGTAGAAAACAATGTTAGGCGAGATTAGGTCATATTACTCACATAATGGTGTGCATTTGTCGTATATTAGTGTATCTGCTAAAAGCTGGGCGTATATAGTGTGTCGCAGAGTTAGTAGTTAAGTTAATTCTTAATGGCCGTTACATAGGGTGAGGGTTAGGTGGCAGAAGCGTGGGATGGGCGAGAAAGATGAACGGGATACGACGGGTGATTATGCAGTTAACGTAGAGGGAGGAAATTGTTTTCTATTTATAATTTTATGCCTTCTACCTTGATGTTTCCTGAAATAGACACCCATCCAACATCAACCCTTGAACTCGTTTATACCAACTTTAAAGCCTCATAGGCTTGTTTGGACCAGTTGCTGAACTCGACAAGCAAATGCTGGCGATGGCACTCAACAACATCCTCACCGCAAGCCGCCGGGAAATAGATCGCAAGGTCGACATCGAAGCCTTGACCGTCTGCGTGGTCCTTGAACTGGTGGTACAGCTCTATGATTTGGATACCTCCTTCAATAAAGCCTCGGCCAGTCATTTTGGTGGTAAAGGTCGGGTCGTCTTCAACAAAATCGGCACGGACCACATCGAAGCTAAGCGAAAACAGAGTTGGCTTCTCGCCTAAAGTTTCCAACACGGTCATTGTCCCTGGCTCTGTTCCAGGGCGAACGACCCAATGTTCAGGGTGAGCAGCAAGCTTTTCCTGCTCTGGCAGCATGCCGCCTTCTGTGGGAAGGAACCAGTTGATGAAGTCCCTTGAGGTGAGCCCTCGTGGAGAGAGTACGATGCGCGCTGCCTTCCACTCCCCATTTGAGTCGGCAGAGACCTTCCTCCAGAATTTGGTGCTAGCGGCCGTTTCGTCGCGAAGGAGGTCAATCAGGCCATCTTCGCCTAGCAGGCGTCGGACCAACATCATCGACCGACGTGCGAATGCCGCTTCGAGGTCTTTAGTCTCGCGCTTTGCATCTGGTCCTTGCCGTATGTCGATGGTGAAGGGGGTAGAAGGCATCATGTCAAGGGATATGATCGAAAAACACGGGATTTTGGGTACAGTTGACTATATGCTCTGTAGAGAGTAACTCAACTGCTTCGTACGGAATGCTTCCCCATCTTAACCTAGACCGAAGAAGCATGTGGGCCTTTGCAAGATTACGAATATTCCGCGTCGGACGACGTAGGTCAGTCCTCGCCGGTTATGCTTTAGACCGCGGACGAAAACTTAGACCGCGGACGAAGTTTTAGACCGCGGACGAAAACTATGCCCGCCGCACACTCTTCACATCCGTATATCCGAGTACTCAGGCTTTGTATATCCTCTCTGGTCATTTTGTGCCATTAGTCCGAAGCGCTGACTGCCTGTTTCAAGCAAACGTCTTAAGTCCGTCGATTCCATTCCCTGTCAATGTTTACTAAACAAATGGTGTTATGGAAATCTTTCTAACTCGGCCTCGTCTTTCGGCTTCGGCCTTCGGACTTCGGTGATTTCGAATGAGCACATCTTGATTGCGCAGAATCACACACTCCGCCTTTTACGTCTACCGTACAGTATGAGTATCCAACACCCGTGAATGAGGAAAGGTCCACAGAATCTGCAAGCTACCCTTTTATACACATTCATAGTTTGTCTTTTAAGGATAAACCTAGGAGCGGAGTCACTAAAATGCATCTTAAGAGTCTCAACGGACTTTATACCTTACATATCTTTACATATGCCTTTTATGCTCATTTGCATGTAGATTCCTTAGCCCTCTATGTTATACCTAAGCTTTTTCTAGTTTCTTCAGCATTGTTTACTCCGTAGCATCTTTTATTTACTTAAATCTATATATGTTTATATATCCCTCCTGTCTTGCTTTTCCATTATCGAAAGTCAACCTTTGCAACGTCTTTATCCATCGGATCATTGTCGGAGCATTACGCCTTCGAAATCCGATTTTCCATCTTTATCAACACAATCTCAAGTAGCTAAAGTTGTATAACCTTTAAAGCCACGTAATTGATAACCTGTGTAGCGCAAACACTCTACACTCCTTATTCAAACCAGATCACATGACTTAAAATGTCGGCCGTTTTTTCTT